ATATATATATATATACTGTATGCGTTTTAAACCCTTCCCACAGTCTTGCAATATTCTAATCAATGTTTCTAAACTCTAAATGCGCTAAAAGAGCACAGCATGTCAGCCGTCTGCCACAGTTGCGCTCTCGGCCATGCCCACTTCTCCACTACAGAGCGGAAATAGACAAAGGAGGGAGGAGGAGCTGCAAGAGAAAGTTTCTCCTGCAGTGTGGGCTGCACACAGATGCAGCAGGTGCAAAATAATTTTAAATAATTAATTTTAAATAAAAATTTCATGCCTATCATGCAGCTCATCCAATTGTGTCACGTACAATCTTATTTGGTAAAAACTGCGATACAGCAAGTCCGTGAAAAAAGAACAAAGAAGTAGTGAGGGACTACTGTAATACAGATAAATGTTTGATCACATGCACAATTATTAGGCATTTTGCAAAACTATTACATTTGAAACTTTTTTCATCTCATATCACTTGACAAAGTAAACAAAACAACAACACATAGAGCCGATTAATGTCGCCACTCTGTCATTTTTTTAATCTTATGTATTAATTCTGATTAGTTTTTTACAAGCTTATAACTGATCGTGTACAAAGCCAACTCACAAAAAGCTCAAAAACTTGATGTAAAATTATTCCATATTAATCCATTTGTACACATTATATATGCTTTTCTAGTACATTGTTTACATAAGTTTTAGCAACTCCCACCAACAAGTTTTTAAATACAAGAAAAATCTAAATGATAAAAGATTTGAAAGACTGTACACAGATTTTAAAATAAGCTCACAAACATATAATAAGGTCACTGTTTTGTCAGTAAATTGTAAGCGGTACCAGATTCACGTTTCAAAAACTCCACCCAAATCACATCAAGTGTTTATTAGACTGATAGCTAACGAGTCACAATTGCATACATTTAAAATTTCAGTCCCACTCTGTAAAAAGGAAGTGAAAAACCAGTTAACCCAGACAAACCAGTGACTATCAACTTAACTTGACACACCAAAAGATTTATTTACGTTTTTACTTCCCCGTTTGACTACTCACTGCTCATCTTTGCTTTTCTCAAACCCCCTCTCCAGCCCTGTTGTCATGGAGACAACCTCATAACAGTGCTCTGTTCTGCAATCAGGTGAGTGGACTGCAGGGACACAGTCGTAGCCTTTACTGGCTGAACTCATGCGCTTCCTGCTGCGCGCTCCTGGCTGATAGAGCTGCATGGTGGGACGGTCCTGCAGGGACACGAGACAAACAAAAACAGTTTAAATGAATAAATGTATTCAGCCATGCTCATCCATTTTCTTTACTGAAGGACTGTTAGCAGGACTCACACACACATCAAAACTTGTACTTGACTAGAAAGTACTGGACCGTCCCTTTAACTCCCAGAAGAAATTTAAATAATGGAAGAAAAGTGCTGACACTTGTACTGTCCTCAGGCATTTCAGTGCTTTTTTGTTAATTTTTATATTCAGTAATCATTTTGTTTGTTCATAACAGCATCACAAATCTTTAGAGGGTGTTTATTTTGTAATTTGTTCTACTCCAATGTCATTTACGCTTACCTCGTTTATACTGTATTGTTGCATTTTGCACACTTTGGACACCTTGTGGCAAAAATGTACAAAGAAACTGCTATAAAATCAATTTGAGTCCATTTTTTTCAGCTTCTCTCATAAATAACTCATAACTCTCATAACTTTAAATGTGTTCAGAACCACCAACCATTCAGTCATTGTCAGGATTTTTATCTCATTTCAATGCAGTTATTTTTTTTTCAACTTAATTTAATTATTCCTTACAAAAAGACACACACACACACAAAATAAAATAAAATCTTAGATAGTCAAGACTCCATAAATTAAATTGCAAAAATACAGTAAGTTCATGCATACAATGGAAAAATAGTTGAATCTGGTGGAATACAGTGAAATAATAAATATTACTAACTTTCTTTAAAATAAAATGCTGACATTGCAGAATGCATGATTTTGTTTTGTAATGAAAGTGAGATTTTTAAAATGTGTTTTTAAAGGAAGTCAGAGCCATTTTGCCCTCGAAGGTGTCCAAAGGGATTATTTAGCACTACATAAAAAACTAATCCAATCTAATTATTTATGTGCTAATATTTGCCATATTCAAGGGTCTAATAACCCCATCCCCCTCATTATGATATGGAACATAATTATATTTCTGTCTTTTTTAATTAAATGTTTTCAATAAAATATTTAAAATACATAAACTGATAGACAAACAAACAAAGTGACAGACAAAGTGCAGCCCTAACACCCCAATGATGAGCAAACTAAATGGACTCGATGTTCCCTCGCCCGGATGTGGGTCACCGGGGCCCCACTCTGGAGCCAGGCCTGGAGGTGGGGCACGCGGGCGGGCGCCTGGTGGGCGGGCGCCTGGTGGGCGGGCGCCTGGTGGGCGGGCTTTTGCCCATGGAGCTCGGCCGGGCACAGCCCGAAGAGGAGACGTGGGTCCCCCTTCCCAAAGGCTCACCACCTGTGGGAGGGGCCAAAGGGGTCGGGTGTAATGTGGGATCGGTGGTGGCCGAGGTCTTGGACTCTGGCGGTCTGATCCTCGGCTACAGAAGCTGGCTATTGGGATGTGGAATGTCACCTCACTGGTGGGGAAGGAGCCTGAGCTGGTGTGTGAGGTTGAGAGGTTCCGGCTAGAAATAGTCTGACTCACCTCTATGCATGGTTCTGGCTCTGGAACCAGTTTCCTTGAGAGGGGTTGGACACGCTTCCACTTCGGAGTTGCCCCTGGTGAGAGGCGCCGAGCAGGAGTGGGCATACTTATTGCCCCCCATCTTGGTGCCTGTGTGTTGGGGTTCACCCCGGTGAATGAGAGGGTAGCCTCCCTCCACCTACGTGTGGGGGGACGGGTTCTGACTGTCGTTTGTGCTTATGCACCAAACAGCAGCTCAGATTATCCACCTTTTTTGGAGTCCTTGGAGGGGGTACTGGAAAGTGCACCTCCTGGGGACTCTCTTGTTCTGCTGGGGGACTTCAATGCTCATGTGGGCAATGACAGTGAGACCTGGAGGGGTGTGGTTGGGAGGAATGGCCCCCCTAATCTGAACCTGAGTGGTGTTCTGTTGTTGGACTTCTGTGCTTGTTATGGATTGTCCATAACAAACACCATGTTCAAGCATAAGGGTGTCCATATGTGCTCTTGGCACCAGGACACCTTATGCCGCAGTTCGATGATTGACTTTGTTGTCGTCTCATTTGATCTGCGGCCATATGTCTTGGACACTCGGGTGAAGAGAGGGGCAGAGCTGTCCACTGATCACTACCTGGTGGTGAGTTGGCTCCGATGGTGGGGGAGGATGCCGGTCAGACCTGGCAGGCCCAAACGTATTGTGAGGGTTTGCTGGGAACGTCTGGCAGAGTCTCCTGTGAGACGGAGCTTTAACTCCCACCTCCGGGAGAACTTTGAGCATGTTCCGGGGGAGGTAGGGGACATTGAGTCTGAGTGGGCCATGTTCCGTGCCTCTTTTGTCCAGGTGGCTTACCAGAGCTGCGGCTGCAAGGTTGTCGGTGCCTGTCGCGGCGGCAACCCTTGAACCCGATGGTGGACACCGGCAGTGAGGGCTGCTGTCAGGCTGAAGAAGGAGTCCTATTGGGCCTTTTTGGCCTGTGGGACCCCGGAAGCAGCTGATGGGTACCGGCAATCCAAGCGACATGTGGCTTGGGTGGTCGATGAGGCAAAAACTCGGGTATGGGAGGAGTTTGGAGAGGCCATGGAGAATGACTTCCGCATGACTTTGAGGCAATTCTGGTCCACCATCCGGCGTCTCGGAGGGGGGAAAGCGGTACACCACCAACACTGTTTATAGTGGGAGTGGTGTGTTGCTGACCTCAACTCAGGATGTCGTGGGTCGGTGGGCAGAATACTTTGAAGATCTCCTCAATCCCACCAGCATGTCTTTCACTGAGAAAGCAGAGCCTGGGGACTCTGGGTCGGGCTCTCCAATCTCTGGTGCTGAGGTCACCGAGGTGGTTAAAAAGCTCCTTGGTGGCAGGGCTCTGGGGGTGGATGAGATTCGCCTGGAGTTCCTTAAGGCTCTTGATGTTGTAGGGTTGTGTTGGCTTACGCGACTCTGCAATATTGCGTGGACATCAGGGGAAGTTCCCCTGGATTGCTAAACCGGGGTGGTGGTCCCCCTATTCAAAAAGGGGGACCGTAGAGTGTGTTCCAACTACAGGGGGATCACGCTCTTATGCCTCCCTGGTAAGGTCTATTCGGGGGTTCTGGAGAGGAGGGTCCGTTGGATAGTCGAACCTCGGATTCAGGAGGAGCAGTGCGGTTTTCGTCCTGGCCGTGGAACACTGGACTAGCTCTACACTCTCAGCAGGGTCCTGGAGGGTGCGTGGGAGTTTGCCCAACTGGTCTACATGTGCTTTGTGGACTTGGAGAAGGCGTTCGACCGTGTCCCTCGGGGAACCCTGTGGGGGGTACTCTGGGAGTATGGGATACTGGGCCCTTTGATACAGGCTGTTAGGTCCCTGTATGACCGGTGTCAGAGCCTGGTCCTCATTGCCGGCAGTAAGTTGGGCTCGTTCCCGGTGAGAGTTGGACTCTGTCAAGGTTGCCCTTTGTCACCGATTCTGTTCATAACTTTTATGGACAGAATTTCTAGGTGCAGCCAAGGTGTTGAAGGGATCCGTTTTGGTGGCCTTAGGATTGCGTCTCTGATTTTTGCAGATGATGTAGTCCTGTTGGCTTCATTAGATCGTGATCTACAGCTTTCACTGAAGCGGTTCGCAGCCGAGTGCGACACAACCGGGATGAAGATCATTTCCTCCAAATCCGTGGCCATGGTCTTGAGCCGGAAAAGGGTAGAGTGACCTCTCCAGGTCAGGGAGGAGGCCCTGCCCTAAGTGGAGGAGTTCAAGTATCTTGGGGTCTTCTTCAAGAATGAGGGAAAAATGGAGCGTGAGATCGATAGGCCGATAGGTGCAGTGTCTGCAGTGAAGCGGGTGCTGTACAGGTCTGTCGCAGTGAAGAAAGAGCTGAGTCAAAAGGCGAAGCTCTCAATGTACCGATCGATCTACGTTCCTACCCTCATCTATGGTCATGACCTTTGGGTTGTGACCGAAAGAACGATATCTCGGATACAAGCGGCCAAAATGAGTTTTCTCCGCAGGGTGTCTGGGCTCTCCCTTAGAGATAGGGTGAGAAGCTCGATCAACCAGGAGGGACTCAGAGTAGAGCCGCTGCTTCTCCACGTCGGGAGGAGCCAGTTGAGGTGGCTCAGGCATCTGGTTAGGATGCCTCCTGGACGCCTCCCTGGTGAGGTGTTCTGGACACGTCCCACTGGGAGGAGGCCCAGAGGAAGACCCAGGACACGCTGGAGGGACTAAGTTTCTCGGCTGGCCTGGGAATGCCTCGGGATTCCCCTGGAGGAGCTGGCCCAAGTGGTTGGGGAGAGGGAAGTCTGGGCCTCCCTACTTAAGCTGCTACCGCCGCGACCCGACCCCAGATAAGTGGAAGAAAATGGATGGATGTATGGAAACTGATATTTAAAGAGTTAAATTTAGGAAATTTATTAAATGTTTGGTAGTTTTGAGAAAGTCTGAAGTGGTCTGAAATAAAGCCAGAAATAAAAATACAGACAAAGATCTGCCTCTGAGTTTGTTTAACTTACTCTAATTTCTCTTGAGTTTTGAAATGAGACCTCAAAATAGTTCAGTTACAAAAAGATCAAAAAAGTAAACTATGTCAATTTTCGCAGCTGGACTGCTGCAGCGACTGTAAGTGCAAAGGGAAAAAAAATGCTCCAAATTATGGAATTTGCTCAAAAATCTCAAGATTTAGTAGACTGTTTTTAAAGCTATGCCATAATTATCATTTTTTATCTATCCACAAGTGTTGCAGTATGTCTACTCATGACTGCATTTATGAACCCCACCCCCACTATATTACACATTTATAAGGAGAGGGTGTGTAGCAGCTGTTACTCAATCAAAGTGCAGGATGTTTGTTGTGAAATGTGTTTCCTGCATGTAACTTCTGGCTCAAAACACAAGCTGGAGATGAGTAAGTGACAAACCCAGCCCTCTCATACATTAACCTACAACTAACTGGGTTTTGACACATTGACTCTGTTGATCGTTCACATGGACATAAGTTACATATCCACATAGCCTGTGTATATTACAGCTGGTTTTAGCTACAGATCACTAAAATTCATGTTTTCCCTCAAATAATCAGACCGTAGAGGAAGAATTTTCAAAAGCTCTGAGCCAAAGTAAAAGAAAACAAAAGTGAAGATGACAGAATAACTTGAATAAAACAAATAAACCTAACTTAAGCCAGTTGTTTTATTTTTAGTTATTTATATTCATATAACCTCTCTGTCTGAGTGTGGCAGTGATTGAAGACCTGACTGAAGGACACAGGAGACAGGAGTAGTAAAAATGTAAGACTTCAAGGATCATCCCTGAAACAAAAGATGCTGAAAAAAACAAAGCATGAAAGTCTAAGCAAGTGAAGAAAAAACTGTCATAAATTAAATGAAGACAATCACAGAGACAGGACAAAAGATGATACAAGGTACAAGATGTAGAGATAAAACTTTCTAAACTAAAACAAGCTAAATAAATACAATCAAAATGACAAGTAACCCAGATAACTAAAACTACACAATCAATCTGAAGCAATACAAAATGCAGCCTAGAAAGTAAAACTTCAAAACAGACTAGCCCATAATCCGTACCAGATTGAGGAGCACAGCACTGTTTACTAAAGGTAAGGAAGAATAGAAGTGTGAAGTTTCTAAAGCAGTAAAGCTAGTTCAAATTGTTAGTTCCATGTATGAAGGTGTTCAGAACTGGCAAAGGCAACACAACAGCATTTGAGATTAAAGTTCACGTTCATCAGGGTTCATGTCTCAGCCACTATTGTTTATTGTTGTGATGGACACAGTTACTGGGTTTATTAGGAGAGAAGTGCCGTGAGATATGTTGTATGCAGAAGACCTAGTTGTAGCTGGAGCTTCTGAAGTTAATCTCCAAGATAATTTCATCAGTCATGTTTTAATTAGTCATGCTCACCTTCTCGCTCACCTTGTTTCGGAGGCGTTCCTTCCTGTTACTCAGCTCTTCCCTGTCTTCCTTTCCCATTTTCTCTCCACTGTCAGGACAGTAAGAGTAGTTGTGATGATGCCCTTCTTTCTTGGCTCGGTCCTGGCAGTATCCTTTCCCCCATTTGGTCTCATCTTTCCGCCGCATGAACTTGTCAAACTCGTAGTGGTGCCGTTGTCGTTTCCTTTCTTCATCTTTTCCACGGTGATCTTTTTCCCTCTGTCTGCGCCCATGCTGCTGCTGCTGCTCTTGATGCTCACTGTCACTCTCAGGCTGGCCTCTGCTGGTAACATAAAGATTTACACATTTAAAAATAGCACGTCAAACTGAAGACTCACCTAAATTCTTGCATTTAAGGCATAACTGTTACGATGGGACATTCTGGCACTTTTTTACAACATGGTTGATTTTTTTTTCTTCAATAAAATTTAGATGCACGTCAATTTAGGCATCAAAGAATGAGTCATTTGTAGGCCAAAACAAAAACAAACAAACAAAAAAATTAAAAATAATAACATTTGGATGAGGAAACTGGCTTTGAATTTCTTTATCATTCAACAAAAAAAAAAAAAAAAAAAAAAAAAACTGATTTAGAGATCTTTAAACTCAATAAATATCTATAGGGAAAAATTAACTAAATAAAAATTATTTTGATTGCTAGCATTTGGTTATAAGTATTTATTTAGAACTAATATAAAATGCAAATATCCATTAAGAATGAGGCATATTTAAATTAATAATAAACATTTCTACAACTAATAGTTTGTCAAATTTTAATAAATGTCAGCCTTGCAGAGTAGATAGATCTAATAAATTAGCAGTTCTCACTTCTCCTTGGGTTCTTTTGACTTTATGTGTCCTCCAGCTTTCTCCCATTTGCCCCAGTCTGGTTCTCCTGCATCACTTTTGTCCTTCATTCGGTCTGAATCAGCATCCTCATCTTTGTCGCTCTTCTTCAGAAGCTAAATATGCAAATAAGACAGAATGTATCCATCTTCATGCTGTTGCACCATTTAAATATAAAAAATAAATATGTTGGTTTTGATCAGGTTTATAGCGATGAGGCATTACCTTAATTTTAATGTCTTTATCTGACAGTTTCTTCTGCTTCTCGGCTTCTTTTCGCTTGCGTCTCTCCTCCTCTCTGCGCTTTCGTTTCTCTTCCTCCCGTTGCCTTTTCTTTTCAAGCTCTCTTCTTCTCCTCTCCTCTCTCTTCTCTTCTCTTATCCTCTGTTGAATGTTTGCCACAATAAATAAAATATTTTACATTTTAAAATGGTTTACGCAGAAATAATTAACCGCAAAACAGTTCATTTCTGACCTGTTTTTCAATTTTCTTATTTTTGATGTATTCCAGCAGAGGTGTTGTCCGTCTGGCTAAAAAGCAAAAACAAAGAAGGACCCAGAAATCTTGGCATTATGTTGAAATCACTTTAACTTAGAGGCATGTGAGTGTAAACAGTTTTATTAATTGTAAGAATGGCTCAGTAAATAATCTAAACGTGGCAGTGTACCTATGAGCTCTCTGGTCTTAGCTTCAATCTCCCCCAGCAACGTTTCAGGGTTGGCCATAGACTTTTCCTCATCACAGGAGTAATTCTCCAAGAATCGCTTGTATTCTGGATCTGATTGAGTTTCACAGACAAAAAAAGATATACATTATGTTGGCAAGTTTAAAAAGGCTAAGTTGAAATATTGTATGGAGTAAATTTATTTCCAAACAACATCACTGGCTTCTAAGCTGATTACAGTATTGGCTTGTGTTTTGTAATTTGGTACCTTCTTCTATGCTTCCAACTTTGGCATCTTTCTTCTTCAGCTTCTTTTTTGAAATCTTCTGAAAGGGGGCAAATTCTACCACAGCAGGATACTCTTGGCCTGAGTTATTTATGGGAAAAAGAGAGCTCTAACAGACTTGCTAGTAACAATAGCAACAAAAAGCTCTAAAGCCAATATAGTTCAACCTGTAGCAGCAAAACAAACATGCTCTTGTCTGTATTAGATACAGACGCACTGAGTGTCAATATTACTGGCCAGCACTGTCAACAAAATCAAAATGAGTTTGGAGAAAGTTCAAATACCCTTGCTGTCAATGAAGACATATCCGTCAAATCTGTCCCTGAACAACAGGATGTCTTCTTCATGTTTGAAACTGATATATGCTCTGGAGAACAGGTGGGGGTAGAGACTGAGAAGACAAACAGAAACAGAATAAAAGTCATAAACATGAAGAAAACTACAGGAGTTTGCTACATAAATGTATAAAGCATTTGGTACCTTTGGTCTGCTGGAAAGAACTCAAAGTAATCATAAGAAGGAAGTGGACTCAGTTGTTCTTCTAGCTGGTCCTTTGACAGGTTAGGTGGGAGCCTCCGAATCACCACCTGTAAAAAATGAGAAAGGTATTTTGTTTATGTTCAGAAAGACGAGTAAGTAATTACTTCTTTTTGTAGATTTTCATTTTGCTTTTGATTTCTTTACACGAGGTTTTGTTTCCAGAGTCTCCTAAAACATAAACTGATTAAAAAAAAAATTTCTGCAACGGAAGGGTTTCTGTTGTCCTGCAGCTTCTGGGAGGAGCTGTCAGAGTTGATATCGATTCAGTTTGAAACAAGGCAGAGATGTTTTTAAAATGGTCAGAGATACTGTAGAAGTAGTAGACACAAAAGAGCTGTGGAAATAAACTAAAATAGTTTATTCTTTCTTGCTTCATTAAACATTATATTCATTGCTCCATATCCATCCATCCATTATCCTTACCCGCTTATTCCATTTTGGGTCACGGGAGTCGCCGGTGCCCATGTCCAGCAATCACTGTGCGAGGGGCGGGGTACACCCTGGACAGATCACAAGTCCATCACAGGGCCACATAGAGACAAACGAGACAAACCATTCACTCTCTCACTCACACCTAGGGACAATTTAGAGTTACCAATCATGCATGTTTTTGGTCTGTGGGAGAAAACCGGAGCACCCGGAGAAAACCCACGCATGCACGGAGAGAACATGCAAACTCCACCCAGAAAGGCCCCTGGACCGGGATTTGAACCAAGGACCTGCTTGCTGAGAGGCAGCAGCTCTACCAGTTGCGCCACCGTGCTGCCCCATTGCTTTAAATATGTCTTATAAATAAAATGACTACGAGGTAAAAAGTGCAGAGAAAACAGTACGTGTTTTATAGTGTTTAGACTCCATCCATCCATCCATCCATCCATCCATCCATCCATCCAT